TCCTAGATCAAATCCAAAAATGCTAGGAAATTCCTGGAAAATCAAGATTGAGACATATCAACCATCAAGTGACACACATAAATACACCATATTCACACATTGTTGAAAAGAGGCAATCAAAAAAGCTAAGAAGTAAACCAAATGCCCAGAATCCATCATCTCCAACAGTCAACATCCAGATAAGCAGGGATTAACACCAGACAAGCAACTAAGCAGAAAACAATATCCAAATGCAGGAACTGCCAAGGAGAAAATGACAACCCCACCAAAACCATAAGAATAAGCTACTGTATGTACAGTGGGAGCAAAATTCCACATTGCCTCTACTGACGATATTAACTAGTTGGGTAATGAAACACGGGAAGTCAAAACAACATGTAGGAAAAATGCCATGGTAAACCATGATGCAGGCAAGAAAGTTAAATGTCCTTGTCCATCAAGTCATCAGAAATTGATTTGGACTTGAACCTTTTTCTTTCCTGGGTTTTGCACTGCAAGTATTTTCTCTATGTTGCATAACCATTTCTTCTATGGCACATCCCTTTAATGCGTCTCTTAAAATGATACTGCATGATATTTTGAAAGTGCTCGGCTAGACCATCTGCTTCTACATTGCATGTTTCACACACTCTGGCCAATTGGGTGATCTTGTGATTTTCTCTCTCCTTATATTTGATGTTGTAATCAGGGCATGAAACAAACATTACAGCAAGTGAATTGTCTGTGTGTTTCTTAAAGGGGTGGTGAGGAGGCAAAATATTCCAGAAAAGGAGCCAAGCTTTCAATGGATTTTTTTTTCTTCTTCTTCTTTTGGTGTCGTTTTGGGAAGGAGCAGATGAATGGCAGAGCAAGAATTTCCTCAACTTTGATTAAATGCGGTTTTCCTACCTTGGCTGCCGCAGCGATGCCCTTGGTTTTCACCAGTTGTGCATGAAGAGCTGCAGAGCCATCAATAAATATAAAATAGGAAATATTGCAAATCCCTGCTTATGAAGCAAAAAAAAAGTTTTCTCATGAAATAAGATTGGCCAAGAAACAGGAAGTTGTTAAGCATGGCTACATACATGTCTGAATTTTTCAGTAAGAAAGTTAACTTTCTATAATCAGATACAATTCTGCAACAGGATAATTGGGTTTCACTGTCCTAGTTAAAGGTCTACAAAAGAGATATATATTAAGAGGTCCCAAACTGAGGAATTAACCCTTTCTAATAAACTTTCCTTCCAACCCACCTCACAAATTTGATAATGGTACAATAATCTGGGAGAATCAATCAGCAATCTTCTTGGGGCCAGTCTGATTATTTCTTCTCTTGTTGCCAATTTCTTCTGCATTAAAAAATAAATAAATCCACATCCTATGATATTAGAAGGAAAAGCGATGATTGAAAATCTCCCCCACCCTGAAAATTTGATCCCCTCTGGACACCGATTAACTACAATTCCCAGCCTGCTTCTCTGTTGTGTATGCAGGGTAGAATTGCTGGGAGTTGTTTAGAAGGTTTTCATCTCCTCATCTCTCTATAAATTCCCTCCAGCTAGAAAATAGAAGTTGCAAACATTAGAGTTGTGATAAAGATTTTATTTAGATCAGCTCAATTAACTAGTATGTGAGCAAAGCTGAGAGAATTTGTAATTGCTATTGATTTTACACTGGAGGTGGTACTCCGAAGCCTGCTCTAATAGCCAACAACATAAAACCAATAGATGGACTGCAGGGAATTCTGCTTTCCATTTTACAGTGACAAGTTTTCAAATGTTGAAAAAAATGGAGTTGGTTTGAAGGGAGGAAGAGATTTTGGATGTCCAACCCCATGATTGTTAGGTCAATCTGGGTGATGTCAGGCCTGTCCCTTTCCTTCACCCTGATCGATCTCATGAGGTTATTTTGCAGTCAAAACTGGAGAAGACATCTTTGACATCCACCAAACAGTGTTTCCAGAAGAGAGGTGGAGTTTAAATTCCATAAATAGATGGGTAAACAATATTTGCTAAGAAACAGTTAAAGTCAATGAGCTGTAGAGCACATATGCTTTAACTCATAGAAATGGTAAAACTGTAAGCAATCCAAAAGGGGGGGAAAGGTTATAACTTATTTTATTTTTATAAGGCAGAAGCTGGTAATCTCTTTATTGAATGTTGAAAATGTAAGCAATATATTGATGTTTATTTCTACAACAGTTTCTAAGCACCGTAATATTTCTTCGACAATTTATTTTTGTTTCTTACAAGTGGGGCAAAATGCTTAGGAAGCAAATTTCATACTGTAGCAAGCAGAGTCCTGCTGGAATACAACAGTTACAGTAGAAAAAGGCTACTTTTTAAGTTTATATATATATAAAGAAACAAGGATCGTTCCCACTTAAAAAAAAATCACACAACCCAAAACAAAATTCACTCAGTTGAGGAATCAGTAAAAAGAACTTTGCTCTTTATTCAGATCTGGAGTAGGAGAAGAACAGGCAGAGCTGGAGGGGGGGAGAGTTAAGCATGTCACTAGCTTAGAGTCATTGCTTTCCTACAAAGGCTCCAAATCCATTCACTCCTGAATTCTATTGACCCTTATCTGGTGCCAATTTAGTATTGAACTTGGGTTGACCAGATTCTTGTGTATAGGCTTAATTCTTCTATACTGCAACTTAATTGATAATCCTGCTTTTTTGCACCTGACATCTGATATTTTATGAATAAATTTTTAATTTCTAAAAGTGAGTGACAAAAGTGACAATCCTCTAGTTTTTCTTCCTTTGAAATTTTGCCTAAGAACAACATCTAAAGAGGAGCAACAGGATGTTTTGTTTTGTTTATTTCCCATGTCAGCAAAACTTGGCTTATAAGCGGAAATAATGTGAATCAGTAGGAACAGTTGGCAGTTGAGACCCAATGAGTTAACAATTTCGGTTTATTTCCATTTCATTTCATTTCCCTTGGAATTAAGTCTTCTTCTCTCTGCTTTGTTAGCTTCCTCTGGAAAGATTAAACGGTAACCCCAGTTGAGATAGATAGCTGTATACAAAGCAATATATACATATGCACAGATCATAAAACAAACAGAACTAAATAAACAACCCTAGATATGATTTTCTAGAACAGAAAACATCACAACTGCATAATTGATCAAAGGGGTGAAAAATAAAACCAGGTATACAAAATAAGTTTCCCTTTTTTGTTGCTTGATGTTCAAAGAACATTTTTGGTCTCTGTTGCTTCTTTAAAAAACATTTTCTATCCCAAAAGAATTAGCATGCCAGATGAGATGACTAGCAAGATCAATCTCTGATACAAAACTCTACTGTAGAGTAGTCAAAACAAAACTTACAGAAACTCTCTGAAGTTTTACGATGAGAAAGGCAACAAGTTTCATTTTTTTTCCTGACCTAAACTTAATTTCCTCTAATTTCTGTATCAGTTTGCACATCTCCAATGGATTGCTATCTAAACCCAAAATGTAGAACACATCCTAATGTTGTAATGCTCAGTGAAACAGAAGAGAAGTAAGGAAAGTATGTGTGTAGAGAATTGAGCTTAGATAAATTCATTTCTAATTTGCATAAAGTATAATGTAATAAAGCTTTAATAAAATGTAAATTAACTTTGATTTCATTTTGACCAGCAAGCCACCTTTGAAGGTTAGTTCCTAGCCCTCCATTCAAAACTGAAGCAAAATCCACAGAGATGATATGATAGGTAGGTAGGTAGGTAGACAGACAGATGATAGATAGATAGATAGATAGATAGATAGACAGACGATAGGTGGGTTGGTGGGTGGATGGATAGATAGATAGATAGATGGATGAATGGATGGAGATAGAAAGAAAGATAGATGATAGCTAGATGGATGGATGGATGATGGGTGGGTTGGTGAGTGGATAGATGGATGAATGGATAGATAGATGATAGTGGATGGGAGAGAGGAAATGAGGGAAAGGGGGATAGATAGATGATAGATAGGTAGATAGATAGATAGATAGATAGATAGATAGATAGATAGATAGATAGATAGATAGATAGACAGACAGACAGACAGACAGGTGATTGTGGAGATGGGAGAGAGGAAGTGAGATTGATAGAAATAGAGATGATAGAGATTGATGAGAGAGAGAGAGAGAGAGAGAGAGAGAGAGATAAGAGACAGACAGAAAGACAGACAACTGTGCTATATATTCTTATTTAATAAACATGCTCTGGACTCATCTGTAATAAGCAAAGTCACCGCATCAAAAAATAGGGTTCATGCTTTCTCATAATCCCTAATGTAGTCCATGACTTTGGCATAGAATACTGCTTCAAGCTAACATATTGTGATTTATAAACCATGGTTGAGGGCTTGGTATGTTGCGCAAATCCCAGCACTTGGAGATTAATTATGGGGAAACCTGCTAGGATGGAGTGATATGAGATTTATGACTCAGAGCCCCTTTCTTCTGAACATCTTTCCTATTACCTATGGGATAATCTTTCCTATCAGTTATTTCCTTAGCTTCTTATGACTATAACTTTGTTGTTTGTATCTCGCGATTTATATGGATTGCCTTTATTTAGTATCCAATTATGATTTATGTTGTTTCTTTATTTAATATCCTATGACTATCACTGAGTTTGCAACTTGCAATTTTTGATGATTGCATTTTATAATTATTATCGTGATTTATTACTTGTTGCCTATATGTACACGGAAAGCCTGTACATGGGAGACAAATTCCTTGTGTGTCCAATCATGCTTGGCTAATAAAGAATTCTATATTCTACTAGCTAGATACCCATGCTTTGCAGTGAAACTTTATGATTGGGCTATGCAGGGGAAATTCAGTTCACAATCCGTTGGCTCAGTGGTTGTCGGTGGTTGAAACACATAAAGGAATATCGCTCCCAACACCTTGAGTCCAGAAGCAGTTCCATAGTTGGAAGGCATAGACATTTTGGTGAGGTACTGATGTTTAGTATTGTAAGGAGCCCCAAGCCACTCCTAAGTGAAGGAATGGAATGTCTGCCATTTTGAACTGAGGTAATGGAATGTGAGGCAACAGGCAATTGGAACAGAGTCCTTTTCAGGTGGGGAGGGGGAGTAGAACTCCTTAGCATCAGAGCGTGTTAATTACTGTATAAGATATACCAATGATCTGATGGTCATTTCGGAAAATCCTTTCTTAGCAAGCACCTAGAAGCCAAGAGGAACATATATGCCAAATTTCAAGTTTGTAGGCTTTATGGTTCCGGAGATTTCATGATGAGTGAGTAGTACTTGGTTTTTATATATATAAATTCTATATTCTGTAAGATATCTCCCTAATTCCATCTACTGAACAAAAACTAGCCGTGAACAGCGGTCATAGCAATACGATTCCACTGACTTTTCATTGTTGGTTATTTTTCTCTCCAAGTTTACTACTGCTCCTGTCTCTGGCACATCACTTTTTAAAAATTCTCTGCATAATTGGCTTGGCTTCAAACCTGGATGGAAAGCCTTGGAACTGAGAAGCTGTTGCAAAGTTCACTGTTGTTCTGTAACTGATCTTATCAAGGCACCAGATGTCACCCAACTGTTTAAAAATTTCTATTTCCTTTGTGGCAAACACTTTGTTTTCCATTGCTACCTCTTTTTTTAAACCAACATTTAAAAAAAAACAATGCCCAGGAAACAACTGAAGGGACATACCTTGCTAAATGTACATTCTTATTTTATTTAATATCCAGATTTCAGAAGTGCAGAATATCCCAGGCAGAGTGTCCTGCTTTTATTGAATTATTTAGAGACAGAAATGGAGAAGGAATTCACTTGGTGAGCTACTCTAACCTTCTGGCCCAATGCATAGAGAAATCTTAAAACATGAAAGCACAGCATGTTTTTATAAAACGTTACTAGGTCGCAAAGTGCTATGAGTCATTGATGCCCAATAAAATCCGTTATCTATTTTTTCCCTGTTTATTTGAAAATAGAGCAAGTATTGCAAACTCATTGTATGAGCTTCCTAAACAATCCATTGTTCTTGGAACTTCTCAAAACTCAGGTTAATGCAAAACATGCAACAATATATAAGATGTGATGAATACATTCACAGAAAATTCATGTTCCCGGATGACGGTAAATGATAAACTAGGTAACTGATAAACTAGGTAAACTAAGTAAATCATTTTGTTACGTAGTTTGGGTAAGGAAATGCAAGAAAAAAAACAAGCTCACCAAGTCTCACCATGATAATCTGAAAAGATACATGCTCCATAATTGTTCTTCAACTTCATATTACAGCTTGAAAAGTAATGGCTGTACATGCCCCGTAAACATCTGATCCCATAGTCTTCCTCCTCCTCCTCCTCCTCTTTCACTTGATCCAACCCACTCCTGTCTAATACTGATAATGTTACCTAGTTGGATCATGAAATGTCTGCAAGAAAGCCACTAAGATCAGAGAGAACCAAGAACCACTCTTTTGAACCCTGATCTACACATATTCCCCTTTATTGGTACTGTTTCCTGAACTAGGAAAAAAAACGAATAACATTTTCTTAACCTTTGATTTATAAACCAAATTCTCAATACTTTGCAACAAGGAGAGAGAGAGAGAGAGATCAACTTGATACTTCCTTCTCTTAAATAATAATAAGAGGAAGCATCTACTCACATGATAATCTGAAGAGATACATGCTCCATAATTGTTCTTCAACTTCATATTACAGCTTGAAAAATAATGGCTGCACATGCCCCATAAACATCTGATCCCAATCTGTGAGTTACAGAGCGAATTCTCAGAGATAATTGTGCAGACTCAAAATGATAAATATGTCAACATTATGATTTCTTCTCTTTAAAAAATGAAATGAAGATGCAACTGGAAAGGCTGTGCTTTGGGACTCCATTCATATTCCCATGATCAATCTTCTAAATTGGTTTATAATTTGAATGTGTTTATATTTATGGGTACTATACAAAGCCAGCTGAGATGTAATAGCCTGGGATAATACACGCATTGTTTCCTTCATACTACAGTCTCTAGATGATTTTTCCCCCAAATTCACACAGAGGGCCTTTTTGCTTTGTGAGAAATATATAATGAGCCTTAAACATGGTAGGTTTCTATACACTTATTCCTGAATTACCAAAACAAAACAGTTTTCAATTTGCAAAAAGATTTGAGGACTTTCCAGAAATTCCTTAAAATTTGGTTGTGGCCTGGGAGGTCACAAAAGAACGTTAATTTGATTAGATAGCTTCATGGTTTATAAACTGAAGTTCTTTCTCACATGTTTATAATAATATTAACTTTTTGTGCTTTTGAATTTTTTTAAAAAAATGACTTTATGAATGTTTTGAGCATTGTGTTCACAGCCACATTGTGTGAGATGGGTGGGCATATAAATATAACAAGTAAATAAATAAATATCCAAGTCCCAAATCTTTCAACAATGGCTCTTTATTAAAATCTTCCAGCATGACACATACCGTCTTCCTAACTTTTCCCTTTTGAAATGTTAAAAAAGTTTTCCTCGCGTTTCGCTGAACATCGCCGCCAAGAGACCCTTGTCGAGATGGGCAGCCTCTACAAACTGAAATAATCAATGATATAATAAATTGCTTTCTTTTATTTTCTCCTTATTTCAGCTTCGTTTTACTGACCTCAGAAGGATAGAAGACTGAGTCAACCTTGTGCTTTATTGGGATTGAAATCCAGGCAGCGGGCAGAGTTTGCCTGCAATACTGCATTCCAACCACTGTGCCACCAGGACTCTATAAGCTTTAAGCTAAGCTTTGGTTCATCATCTCTCTAGATGTGGTATTGTAGGAAAACCTCCAGCAGCAGATTAAACTGACTTGGGGGAAGTCAACTGTGGGACATAAGACCTGCATTGTGTACCAGTTGTTTCTTTGCGTTCTTTCCACGGCCATCTATGTAACATTCAACCTTCTGTTGTCACAGGAGACAGGTTTGTATTCTAGTTGGACATTACTGTGAACACAAGCAAGACTTATGAGCTAGCAAGTGTGTGAGTATCACACACACAGGGAGATGGGAAAGAGGTTGTGTACCAGGCAAGAGAAGGAAACCTCAGGACTCTTGTTCTGTCCAAAATCCACATCTCACATTCTTTAATTCCACTGACATAGAGCCACCCTTTGTGCAACAGGATCACAGAAGGTTTTCTATGCTTAGCTGAAAACAAAAGTCTAAAAACAATTTCACCTCCTATTCAGGACTTGTGAAAGACAAGCTTTCCCAAGGTTAGACAAGGCCAAGAAGAAAGACATCCAGGTTTTGGCAGAGCCCTGCAAATCTGAACTTAAGAAAGAAAATGCCAACCCCAGAGTCAACTGAAAGTTGTCCAATGCTCAGCTCACTTGAGAGTTTCATTAGTCTTGCTCAGGTGGGCGATTAAACCAAACCAACCATCCACAGCTCTCCCTCTAGAGAGGGGGAGAAAAGAGAAGGAGAAAAATTGCAGGGAAAAATAGCAGAGGCTGGAGGCTGAATGTGCAGACTTGCAACTAAGTGAAAGAGTCAGAGAACGAGTCGGGAACAATTCCAATATACAGAAGGAAGAGGCAAATTGAAGGAACAAAGACACCAATAACCAGAGAGGCTTCTGTTCCTGAAAGATATTGAATCCTAGCAGACACTCCGGAGATCTGCCTTGACTCTTAATAGATAAGGCTTTGCTAAAGCTACTCATCTCTCATTTCCTGAAAAAGATTGTAGCTCAGACATCTTCAGGCTGTTCAGGGTTGTGGGTGCTTGGAAGGGACAAATGCATGGAGCAAGTCAAAGAAATCCAGATGGCAGCTAGGGACTACCTCAAGGTTTCATGGCTTTGCAGCTGCGACTTTTTTTTTAAACATCAAAGAAGGTGAAGAGATGATGATCATGATGATGTCCATTTAGTTCAGTCCAACTTTTGGCAATTCTGTGGATGAAGACTTTTCACATTTTCTGATCTTGCACTACTTCTTTGAGTTGTTCTATACTCTGGCTGGGGTCAGCTTTGATGGTGTTGTTGTGGTCCACCGGCAGCAGGTGCAGATGGCTGAGGTCTCGGAGAGCGAGGACTCAGATGAGGGGCCTGCATGTGAGGCAGGGACGGGGCCAGGACCACCAGGGAGTGGAGTGCTGCCTTCGGAGCTTGTGGAGGCTGGCAGCAGTGATGAAGAGGGTCCCGAGGAGCCTGTGTCCAGTGCGCGTGCATGCAGGGCTGCTTGAAGGAAAGAGAAGCTGCAGCAACATGGGCAACTCGGGAGTAAAGCTGCAAGGTGATGGCCCCTCCCTTAAGGGATAAAAGCCAGCCCTCAGAGGTGGGATTCTTTGCAGGAAGCAAAGAAGTTCTCGCGCTTCAATCTTGTGGAAGTTCGGACTATCCTGGTTTGTGTTTGGAGACTTTTGATTGTGATTATTTCCTTGCAATTTAATCTAGTGTTCTTGGTAGCCTTGCACAACTTTGGCAAGGCTTGTTCTTATCTGGGACAATTAGTTTTTAATAACATTTTACTGTGAATTAATGGAATTCACAGAGAAGCATTAAAAAGGTTTTGCTTTTATCACTGTTTGGTTTTTGTTTCCTTGGAACAAGGCTTGGGTCAGAACAGGTGTCCAGCCATCATGGTCTTTGGTGGCCTGATTTCCTTCCACCGCTAACTCTTCCGGTGGTGGGATTCAATTTTTTTTACTAATTGTTCTGTGGGCGTGGCTTTGTGGGTGTGGCAGGGGAAGGAGACTGTAAAATCTCCAGTCAGAGGTGGCATTTGCTGGTTCTCCAAACTACCCAGATTTTCTGCTACTGGTTCTCGAGAACTGGTCAGAACCTCCTGAATACCACCTCTGAACTCTTCCAAATATAATTGCTTTCTCCCACAAATTCCCCTGCATGATTTATCCAAAATAAGTGAGATGCAGTTTTGTGATTTTTGCCTTCCAGTTGAGATATAAAAGGCTGCAACCAGGAGTATGCATTACCCACTCTTCTCTCATCCATCAGTCAAGTTGGTTTGTAGTTGGAGGAGCCCATCTTGATCAGAGTTGCTTACCAAGAATCAGTCTGAAGGAATTTCAGCTCAAACCTTCTGTTTGGCTTGGTTGCTTCAATTCAGGACCAAATCATGAGCCTCGGGCCAAG